AGCGTGTGTCTCTGGGAACTGGGGCATAGCAAGTAACTAAAAACCCTCAAGTCTTTGATGGGGTGGTGGGGGAAGGCACCTCAAGAACCTACTGATTCTAGCCTTGGGTATTAGTATATTGTCTCAGTTAACAAAACTAAAAGGTAGGCATTTTTATTTTTTTAATGACTAGTATGCAACATTCTCTGAAGGCTGTAGACTTGTGCACCAGATACTTATACCACAGATCTCATGCTTCCTCACCATTGTTAACTGAAGAATCTTTTAGGTCATTTGCTGTCAAGGCTGTAGAGAGTGTTAATGCCTGCAAACACTCCAGCAGTGATTAAATGACTAGTGCCAGTGGTACAGGAAGCTACATAAAGATATCTTTTGAACTGTCCTTATGTTGTCACATGCTTCAAAAGTTTCAATAACAACTCACTTGTGCTTCTTGGCAATTTTGCAGTATCACTCAGTGAAAAAGGTAAGAGGGTTTTTTAGGGGGATGGAGGGAAGTGAACTGCTTACTGTTCTCCCATAAATCTGACCTGCAAGATTTGCTTTCAGAATAGCATTTTAATATTTTCTCCTTGTAGTTTCAGCACAGTTACATTTTAGAAATCACAGTCCTTTGCATGGTTTTTGATGCGGCCTTGGGCCTTGTCCTTTTCTGTGTGAATAACCCCTACCATTTAGTTTAATGCAGTTGGAAGAACAGCATAACCAAAAGGGTGGGTGGGAGTCCCAGCCCTATGTAACCAGAACAAATATCTGTAGCTAGATTTTTGCTGAAGAAATTTAGTTGTGCAGGCAAGGCCTAAAGCAAATTTGTGCCTACTACCTCTCCTAGGCTTCAAGCAAGGGATTGGGGAGATGCTGTGAGTTGGGGTAGATAATGGTTGAGTGTGTGTTATAGAAGAGTTCATAAAGAATTTTGGATGCACTTGCTGTTGGTCTGTGTTGTTGGAAGCAGCTAACTGAAATACTGAGAGCTGTGCATTTTTTCTGCTTTCAAAAATAAATGATGACTGGAAATTTAGGAAGGCAAATTCTTAGCAAGCCACTAGATGTCATTGCTGTCCATTTAAATACTGAGGTTTGCTGCAGAAAAGCTAAAGGTGTTCTGTAGAATGAATGATACAAAACAGTAAGGAACTGAAGCAGGTTCCCAGTGCCGTTGTGGAGGCAGGAGGAGACAGACCTGTAAGGTACTAAAAAAATTGTCTCTGACTAAAAGGCAATTTCAGTTCACAGATCACTGTTTTTCATGTTTTGAATATCAAAAGCTAGATTTACTCTGTTAACAAATGAGTATCAGTCCTCTCGTTTAATTGCATTCTAGTGTAAGTTCCTGCAGTCCTAGCTGATTTAGTAAACTGTAGAGAGATCATCCCTGGGCTTGGAGTGCCATATCTGGTGGCATTGGGTCTGGACATTTTTGCTTGCTTCCTCTTCACTCTGTCCCGGCACCAGAGATGGTAGAAGTAGGTGTGAGCCAGCTCCTTAGTTGCCTGAGTTCACATCTAGTGTGTTTTGTTAAAAGCACCAGTAAAGCTGGGTTTGTAATATGATACTGGACACTGACATGCATGAACAAGAGAAGTTAGTGTGTTTGCTTTTACCTCTGAGTTGTGGGGTCATAATCCCAATAAAGCGGCAAGTGGGAGTAGGAACATCTTGTACTCCAAAATTAGATGTTGTAGTTTGACTAAGAGTGTAGTCATGTATTAGCATGTAGTTCTTGGAATGGGTAGTACCCATTCACTACTATACTGTCACTGTCAGCGTATAGACTGTCTATACAAGTGCAAATACTTAGCTTTTAGTGGGAATTCATGGGAAGTCTGTTCCTTGCATCACTTCATCCAACAACCCTGTACTGAGCTGTGGGAAGACAGAAGAGGCCTGTTACCAGTCTTTCAATAAGTGTGCTGAGCTGAAATTTGAGTTTTGAAATATGCAAGGCTTATGTAATTTTGGATTTTTTAAATTACTATTCTTTTTATTCAGACAGATGAAGTCGTCTTCTCCAGAATAGATGGAGTACCATGTGATTCACTGTGGTATGTGTAGTGTTTATGAGAGAATCTTACAGGATCCTCAAAGCAGAGAGAGGCTGGCCGGGATCTCCTATCCTTTTTGTACATAGAGGAAGGGGTGCCCTAGAAAGGAGAGGAAATGGTGGTTTCTATAAAATAATTTGGACGAACTTCATGTATCTGACTTCAGAGAAGCTTCCCCAGTGGACCTGCAATATTGATGGATCTGTACTTTTCACACTGAGGTACTGAAGAAGAAAAAGCTCATTTCCTTTGGAATAGCAATTTTGGTAAAATTGAAGAGCTTAGGACTTGAAAGTGGAGCATTACGGGAGTGCCTTAAATTTGCAGTGGGTTGTGTATGGGTTCAGCTCCTAAACTACCTGCTGACTCTGATCATGCCCAGTCCAGACTTTACACCTTATGAGCCCTCTAAGATTTGAGCTACATGCCCTTGCTGTGATTTTGGAGACTCATGATAACTTCCCCCTCAACTCAGTGTTTGGGTTTTTTCACTCCCGGATCTCATGGAAGGGCATCAGGCTACTTATTTGTGGTATGAGCTTTAAAGCAATCTGGCCTGCAGCTGCTTTCAGGTGGAAGGAGGGGGGGAAAAGATTAAACAAACTTGTTAGATCTACCTGTTGAAACTGGTTGGGATGGAAAGAAAAAGGGGCTCAGGCATTTCCTCTCTGTATTGGAGGCAGCTTGTTTCAGTAAGGCTGCTTGCTTAGGAACAAGGAAGCTACAGGAGCACTCTAAGGATATTAAGTACAGCTATAACTGATCATATAAACTCATTTTGGGGCAGCTCAGTAGAGGACAGTTTCCAACTTGCAGCAAGTCAGTATTGGGTTCAGACTTGCTGCAGTGCTTCACAGCCCCTATGCTGATGGTTGTAGAGCTGTTTTAATTCAGCACTTGAGCTGCAGAGCTTGGCTGGTGTGGAAATAAGCACAAGCTGATGTCTCTGTACAACATTGGGCTGTCTTACTGCACAGAGATTTCCATCATATGCTTCCAAACACCAC